GACCGCATAAAACTATAACACTAAGGAAACATTCCAGTCATTCTTTCCCCATGACCCCTTTGGTCCAATATGTGTCTTTCCTCTCATCCATTTCCCCCAAGGGTCTTCTGAGAGTCGATTTATCTGAGAAACAAACAAACAAACAAAGGTTTGCTTTTGTGTTTTCACACTCACCTGGATGAAATACACCAGGGCAGAGGCTGTCACGGCCTGGGCTTGCATCACCATGGGGGCTGAACCGCTTCTCCAGGATCACGGACTGGGTGTCTGTTGCCTCCTTTCCATGCTCTGTGCTAGGTCTGACTTCCGGACCTAGAGGACTTAAAGAGACAAACTTTTCTCAGCAGTAAATCAGTTTTCTTCTTCTCGCGCGCGCACTCTTTCTCACTCTCTTTTGTTCTGTCCTCTTATTCCTTTGGGCTTTTATTTTCTGTGGTCCTTCTCTCCCCTTTCATCCTGGCTTCTTTCTCTATTTCTACTCTGTTTTTATGTTATCCACATTCGCTTCCCCCTGCCTTCCTTCCCTATTAGTAATCCTTTCTGTAGGTCTTTAACTTTCTCCTACTGTCCCCAAAAGGAAGACATTCAGGGAAGACACATCAGTCCTCAGAATTACGTATTTCTCTAGGCAGTGGTGAGAAACTTAACTTTAGGAGGCTCAAAGGCAGATTGCTGGTGATCAAACAAGTTCTCGTCTCCATCAGAAAAAGAGTAATATTCTTGGTCCTTCACCAGCACATTTCAGGGCGACTGTTGAATAATTGCCAACCTCCATTCACTCCCCTTCTCCATGTGATTAACCCTCCTCTCCTGCTCTCTGAAACCCTCCCCTTTACTATGTTGATAATCAACTCTCCTGGTTCTGGGTCATTTATTCTTAACCATTGCAGTAGGACTGAGAGGTTAACAAATGGACTGGAAAACTCTCCCATCTTTGAGGAAAGCAGGTTTGGAGATTAGAATGTTTGGGTGGTGACCACGAAATTCCCTTCTACCCTGACTTCAGTTCTCATTGAAACAGATAAGTCAGACAGACACATGCAAAAAATGTTTTAGCTGGGTTCCAAGATCTATAGGTCTTTAGGTTTCTGTCTCTGTCTCTCTCTCTTAAATAAAATCTAAAGTCGGAATAAAAATAAGCACGCATCGGGGCGTCTGGGTGGCTCAGTCGGTTAAGCATCTGACTTTAGCTCAGGTCATGATCTCGCAGTTTGTGAGTTCAAGCCCCGCGTCGGGCTCTGTGCTGCCAGCTCGGAGCCTGGAGCCTGTTTCAGATTCTGTGTCTCCTTCTCTCTCTCTGCCCCTCCACTGCTCACGCTCTATGTCTCTCTCTCTCTCTCAAAAATAAATAAACATTAAAAATTTAAAAATGTGGGCCGCCTGGGTGACGTCGGTTAGGCGTCCGGCTTCGGCTCAGGTCATGATCTCGCAGTCTGTGAGTTTGAGCCCCGCGTCGGGCTCTGGGCTGACAGCTCAGAGCCTGGAGCCTGTTTCCGATTCTGTGTCTCCCTCTCTCTCTGCCCCTCCCCCGTTCATGCTCTGTCTCTCTCTGTCCCAAAAAATAAAATTAAAAAAAAAAAAAAAGTTAAAAAAAAAAAACTTCAATATGCAAAGTATTTCATAAGAAAATTAGACATTAGTTTACACACATATATCTGTCTCGTAAGAATTGAATAAAACCACCTTTTAGATCATATCTAATTTTACTGAGTGATTGTTGAGGGCAACTGTGGGGTGGGATTGATTCAAAGAGTCCCCACACAGCATTAAATGAGCACGGAGAATATAACTTTTTTTTTCTCTTTCTCTCTTAGCTAAGGAAATCAAATAGTGACAGAAAAGCCTGGTGATTAGATAACATTAAGTTCCCAAACTAAATGATCATTGCGTTATTTTTTAAAAAGTAAGGAGGACGGAGCTAAGATGAAGAGTATTTTTCAAATCTCAGCAGAAAACTTGGCAAGGTGGGAAGTATTTCATAGGACCGGGAGACCAGAAAATCCCTGGCTCTCTACTAAATTATTATGTCATTTCTCCAAGCCTCAATTTTCCCTTTTACAAAACAGGAGAGGAATGCTCACTTGACTTGCCCTAGATGTTGTTTCATAGAGAAAATACCACCAAAGACATGAAGGATTTTTATTAGAATATTTCTATTTCTATTTAGAGTGCCCTGCACATGATAACATCACTAATTTTTCCCTTCTCTCTCTCTTGTCAGAGATACAACAGAGTATCATGGCTAAGAACCTAGCTAGGTTATCTGGGATTAAATACCTGCTTTCTCATTTAATAGCTGTGTGATCTTGGGCAAGTTATTATATCCCTGTTGGATCAGCTTCATTCTATCTAAAGTGGGGTAATAATAATAATGTTACTTCATAGACTTATAGAGATTCAATAAGGTAATGTGTGTGAAATGCACATAATTGTCCTGATGTAACCAGTATTTTAGAAGTGTTAACTAGGATTCTCTTGATTTCCATTCAGTTTTACCAGTGACCTTCACCTTCAATATGCTGAATAACTGATGTCCTGTCAGTGTTTTATTACCATGGCCATGTTTTAGCTTTCCTGGTATTCCAATTTTGAATATTTCCCCTTGCTGTTCTGGCCATCTCTTCCCCAATCATGCCAGCCAAACCTGAGTGAACAGGTTTGCCCATTACCATGATCTTTGCCCCCACTGCACTTTCCTGCATGTGATTGCCATCACCTTTTTGCCCTCCAGCTTTCTAACAGGTTTGAACAAAACACGATTCTTTTAATGACCTCCTTGTTAATATTCTTTCTTAGAATAACTACTGCCATTTTTTTTCCTCACTCGGTTATTCTTCAGAGAAGTAGAACTTCTTGTTTATCCTAATAGAGTGATTATGCCTTGTGGCAATTTTAATGCCCAGTTCTGTCCCTGTCAAAACCTCTACATCACGAATGTTGAGAGAGGAGAGAGGATCCGTGTAGGAAGACTAAACAGGGTACAGACTGGAAGGGAAGGTGGCTGAGATGGAGGGGAACGACCTCATTTCAATCCTACACAATCTTGTAGTTCTATTAAGTTTGTGAATCATTAGCTTTTGACCAGGTTGTTAAAGACTTGGAGTGGAACCAATGGAGGGTACATGTACATAGAGGTCTTTCACTTATGCCTCAGGAAATTGTTATACAAAACCTGTAACAAGTGGAGCTAAAAAATTACTTGTTTCTGGCCCCTTTGATTATTCTCCTTTTGACCTTGCCTATGTCAGATGACCAACCATGAATTCCCTTCCTTTCTGTGCCTCAGTGAAATAGAGTCCAGGACTATCTTTACTGTGAGTCACCAAGCATGAGTTATAAAGTGTTGAGCAGTGAGTTGGGCCACACCCGTAGCTTCAAAAATAGATAATAAAGCAGAAGACATCAGTTTCATCTTGCAACGACTCCACCAGGAAGTGCTCTATCTTATGAATCAAGATTGCAATGTAAGCATTGAGTGACAACCTCAGAGGCATTGACACTCAGGATTCGATTTAAGGGAATTTAACAAAATAGAAGGGATTAAGTTTATCAAAGTATTATTAGTTTTATATACCATATAACACATTACCACAAATTTTATGAGCACACATTTTATACACACACACACATATATATATATATATATA